GCAGAGGCAGAGCAGCAAATGGGCACATTTTGAGACTATCCAATTATCCCCTCTCTCTTCTCCCTCTCCCTCACTCTCGCGCTCCGTCACTCGGTATGTCTCAGCTCTGTCCTTGACCAGCGATGTTACACCATGTGCCAGTGCAGATAATCTTTAATAATTATTGTATAATTCGCCAATCTTGTCACACTGACTGTTCGACTGTACAGGGCGCCACTGAAAGCCCCTCACCCTCTATGTCTAGCATTTCTGTAACGCATGTCCAGTCACAGTTGCGGCATTTAAATGTACAAAATGTACAAAATGATAATTATCATTTATTGCACATGGAGATAAAAAGTATTTTACAATATTCACAAGTCTGTTCAAGCTGTTTAAACGGCGGTTCTCTTTTGGACAAGAACATGTTAACAGATTTAGGTCATTTTTACTTTGCAAATTTTCTGCATTTCTTTACAGCAATTATTTAATAAAACTAAATAATTCCTGCTAGTGTTTCACAGTAAGAGCCCTTCAGAGAAGTAAAGACATTGGGCTCTTGTCCCTTATAACTTGCCAAGAAAATATCTAATGAAATCTTAGTCAAAACTGAGTTATTAAAAGGATACATGTGATGATCTTCTTTATTTTTGTTACAGTCAACAACCAACACTATATTTATTCTAGTAACAAGTACTTTGAGGGCATCCAAAGCCAGATCTATCTTATTTCGCTGTGTCACAAAGCTCCATTGTTTATCCAAAAACTTTCAGCAAACCACACATTTGTACTGGGGAACTTTTCCTTTCATTGCCACAAACACAGACACTGTTGAGTACTTTCTTTTGACCAAATTCTACATGGACATTCCTAACTTGAGCACCCAGCGTGTATTTATCTGCCAACAAGTCCCCAACAAATACACTGTTCGTTACAGACAAATGTTTACAATAACTCTGCTTCCAAAAAGGTGATTACACTGTGTGAAACAAAATTCAATGATTTGCAAATGATTAAAAGCCTGTAAGTGATTTAAAAAAGTAAAAACTAAACTAAACTGAGAAATGCTATTGTCAGTGATGTTCATTTTGAATTTTATGCCAGCAAAAATGCTTTAAAAACGTAGGACCAGGGGCATGTTTACCACTGTGTTGCATCATCTTTTTTTTTTTCAAATGTTTTGTCAGCCAAATGTTTTCCAATTTCCAGCTAATGCAGAATATCAGCTCCTTAACAGCTGTCAATGGTTCTGCTTTTCAACAACCTGTTTTGGAGCTAAATATTACACATTTCCCTCCACTACGTTTATGCAATGGTTGTATTTACTCATTACCTTGGAGATTTAGGTTTCCCATACAAAAAGTGACAAAGACACATTTAAATAAGCTGCAGTTTTACTTAATTGCTATTTTGTGCAGCTATTAGCAGTACACTATATAACGTATTCTGAAAAAGGTTCTGAGGGTTTTATTTTTAATACTGAAATGACTCATGCTACTCTACTGGTAATGTGAAATAGCAAGAATTCATGGAAAATGTCAGGGGCAAACGACACTGATACCTGCCCAACAAGGTGGTGTTTAATGCAGTACATCTGTGGAAGGGGACAGTTGAGGACAAATGTTGCTTAATGCCTCCTGGCTTATTAAGAGAATGGGTGGCAGGCAGTATAAAGGCCGGTATAGGCAGGAAGCTCCCATGTAGGACACACACACACACAAACACACACACAGAAGCTGACACAACCAAGAGGCTCACCAAGCCTGAATATTGTATGAGGCGTTCTCATGGGCCACTGCAGAGCGTGCAAACAGAAAGAGGTGGACTTATGCATGCACACATACACACTCAAACATAGATACACACACACACTAATGAACACACAAAAAGAGACAGAATGAGACAGAGTGGCACACTCGAAAACACAAACACATGTACGCACACAAACAGAGCCAGTGGAGCTTGAGCTGATGTGGCCCGGAGCAGCCCAACGCCCAGCCACGACACACACACACACACACACACACACACACACACACACACACACACACACACACACACACACACACACACACACACACACACACACACACACACACACACACACACACGAGCCATCTGCAGCTGAAGATACAGCCTACAGAAAGGCTTTACTGCTGACACTCTGAGACAGACAGAAAGAGAAGGACAAGAAAGAAGGGAAAAACTGTCGTGACCGAGTGAATCAGGAGATTATGAGGAAGCGAAGCCAGGAAGGGTAGAAGGAAGAGAGAAACTGACAGACAGAAAGGTGAAGGGAAAATTATGGCCTCAAACTCTCAGTCTTACCTTCAGCCCACTCAAACACAAAACTGCTTCACCAACACTTTCACTGAGATTTCAGCAATTACTGAATGCAAGCCCTTATTGGATGAAATTCCCCTTAGGAGCATTCTGCTCAGGCCCCAAAGATTTCATGCCTCTACACAACCAAATAATAACCAATAATGACAAATCCCAAAACTCAGGAAGTTTAGGAGTATGTTCAGACAAAGTCCCCTTTGTGAAATAAATTAGATAAATCTGTTATTCATTGCATTTTCTTTAGGCTTAATGTAGCTAGGCTGGCAAATTCCTTTTTGTCCATGTGTGATTTTAGAGTGCTATTTTGGCCATTTCTGATGAGAACCAAATGATCCCATCAACAGAAAAACAGATGGAAATCAGATCTAGTTGAATGTGGAATTTACTTTCTGCTATATATGAAGTAATTCAAGCTTCAAGTATGACCCTCTCTTGTATTCAAGGAAAATGGTTTCCCAACAGTTCTGGTCTGAAAAGCTTTTTATAATCAGAAATTCCTCAGGAAAACTGTTGGAAAGAGGATTTAATCTCACAGCCAGAGAATACTCAGATGCAAACCCAGAGCTGGGACTTTTGTGATCCAGGACCTGAATTCAATCAATGAGTCCTTCAGGTAGGTTCCTACAATGGAAAATAGCGCTCTCCATTCAAAAACACCTTTAGCACATAACTGTAGCTAGCCATTGATTTAGGTGTTTGTGGACAGTTTGAGAGAACTTGAAAAAGAATTACGCCTTAAAGCAGCAGTTAGAGGTCAGATGAGCTTCTGAGCGCTTCATAAATCGAATCAAACAATGTTTGCAGCCTGTGGGTTTCTTCCAATAACGTATTTGAAATAGCCTGAAAAAGGGAAATAAAACTCATCATTTGCTGTCAAAGTTCATCACTCCAGGGACACAGGTTGGTATCGCTTACTTCATAAATGTAGTGAATCAAAAACTAGTGGAGAACAAAAGGTTCGAATAATATTTACTGCTGTAGCATCAATCTCAATTTTATAGGACTACGTTCTGCAATTTAGAAGCAGCTGATAAAAGAGGGAATCACTCCCACTCTATTATGTTGTTGTTCTCAGGCCATTGCCAACACAAGGTTTTATTCCAAAATCATAAGGGCAATTTGACAAAAAATTCAGATTGGGAAATTGCTGCTGACACAGATCAGGTAATGCTAGTGCCCAACTAATAATGGCCTAAATCCATTCATGAGCTAGCCATCTCATTTTTTCAAACCTTGCTGTTTTGCTGTGCGTTGTTTGAAATACGATTTAGCCCGAGCATTCAACATGACAGTAAAGCCATGGCGGTGACTGCATGTTGACAATGTTTGTGGTTGACTGATCGTGAACTCCTGCAGCAATATTCAGTGAGAAAAAAAACCTCAAAGCCAGGCGAGATCCAGCTTTAAGTCAACGCTCCATATGAAGCGTAAGTGCTGTACTGCAGTGCACACGGCTCGCTGAATCATACCTAACCATCTCGTGTTGAATTCATAAGAGGGTCCTTATGTATAAAAGGGTCAGCAAGGCATGTGAATATGTTCCATGTTCGCCTGACAAGCTCCAGCGAAGCCTTTTCCCACAGGGAGGAAAGACGTTAGGAAGCAAATGGATTCCTATTACAAAAACATAAAAATGGAACTGATGGACTACCCTCACAATTTCTCTGCTGACCTAACCCGTTGACCTCTCTTCTAGTAAATATGTAAATGAACAAAGATTTTTTTTCTCAGAAGTTTCTTCCTCTAACTGGTGGGCATTTTATGCTGAAGTGGTTTCCAACTGGTTCTAGGCGTTGTCCTTTGGCTTGTTGGTGTTTTGTTGTTGTTGTCAGAGAGGTCTCCAGGTAACAATACGACCAAAGCCAGAGTGTTAAGGGGGGCGGGGGATAAGATGGGGAGGCCCAGCTGTTCCTATCTCTCTACTCCCATTAAGCTCAAAGGCACCGAGCCAGAATCCAACCATAAACAGCACTGGGACTGACTGGACTCCACAATTCTGAACTGGGCAATAGTAAAGAAATACTAAAATATATAGTTACTTTTCAGTAACAAGGGATTTCAGGAAAGAACAGTGGGTTATAAAAAGTTTTTTAAAAAATGTAATGACACCTCTAAAAATGCAGTGTTTAACCACTTCAGTTTCTTAAAGCCTAATTTATAATGCATAACAATTTAGAAGAAGGTTAGATTGCTACAAACACTGAAGGTTAGTGTGACTTTGGCTTCTTTATAGATTAAACATGATGTAATATATCACATCAGCAGATTTTTTTTTTAAGCTAAGCTACCTTAATCACCCTCTGCCTCTAACCTGCCTACAAGTAAACAGGCATGACAGTGATATCAATCTCTAATCTTATTCTTGGGAAGAAAGTTAATCAATACACATCTGAAAATGTCCAGCTTCCCCTTTTAATGACTTGATGTACAATAAACTATGATACTCAAAGCCTTATTGCAACAGAAGGCAACACAGTTTGTTCAGGAAGTGTATCTAGGTCAAGATTACTTTAAGCCTAGCATCTGCTAAAATAAATAAATGTATTAATTAATTAAAATAAAGGTAATCAAATGGAAAGTGGACCTTTTAAGGATGTTAAAAAGATTTTGAGGTGTTATAGACGCAGTTGTTTCCTGCTGTTTGACCCACTGCCCTCCCTCCCGTCTCCACGCTTTACCTCGATAATGTCAGCGTTAGTCCGGCTCTCGTGTGGCTCGTTGTACTCGGTGTACTTCAGCAAGACCTTGTCCATGTCAGTGCTGGCATACTGGAACAGCTTGTTGGAGTGGTTAAAGATGATGAGAGCGATCTCGCAGTCGCACAGGACGCTCAGCTCGTAGGCCTTCTTCATCAAACCAAACTTCCTCTTGGTGAACGTCACCTGATGACAAAAACGAAAACTGAGCTGAGAGAGCTCTAACACAATCTTAGTAAAATTATTCATAGTTCCCTAAAACAATTGTAATTTTATAACATTATAAACGACACTCTATTAATGAAGTTAAACTGAAATGAAAACAAGGGCATTATCTACATATTCTGACATTTTATTTCTTGTTCTAAGGCAAGAAGGTTTTCATGGAGTCTCTTGGTCCTGAATGATGATGTGGGCCACGGAGCTAGAGTGTGGATCTGGCAACAAGCCACAGATTATAGATTTTTAGTGAAAGATCCATTTCAATTTTCACGAGAGGAAAATTTTCTTCAGGGTCTGTTTAGAGTAATGTTCACTTACGAAATTAAAATGTCAAAATGTACAGGTCGCAACCATTTACAGAAAAAAAGAAAGAAAAATACATGCTGATAACCATATTTCTTTCATTCAACCCAAATCGCATACTAACGCTAAGACAAACTGGATACTAAACCTAAACTAAAGCCAATATTTTGAAAAGGATGCAGGCGGTGCACACAAGTTCTACTCAGCATTTTTTTTTTACAAATAATAAATAAAAGAAATGAAGCAAGTGAAAGGGATTTTGTTATTTCAGCTTGAAATACAACACATTTTGAATGTGTTTGAATAAAAACATATAGATATAAATAAAAAAAATCTGTTCACCAGAATTTAAAAAACCTATAATCTGCAAATAAGACACAAGGCATGATGAAACTGAAAGGAACACACTGGGAAATCTGTCAAATGCTGAGAGTAAAACTGATACTAAATATGACTGTAGAATAAGCGACAGCTAGCATCTGTCAAAGCTCCCCTAAAGCTCTCTAATTGTCATGTTATATCCTGTTTTATCTGATGAAAAACCAAAGAGTAAAACTGACAACTTGCAGCTTTACAGTAAATTATCTGACCTCACTGTGACTCTCAATCTTGGCAGGAAAGTAAAAAAGCACATTTACGCAAATGTTGAGCTTTTCCCCCTCAAGACCTGACTTAATATCATTTTGGACCAGAGCCATTCAAACCAGCTTATTCTCAGTTAAACTGAAAGTGTAATTTGAGCTTTTTGCACTTCCAGACTCTAATGACGGCACAAATCGTGCTCTGAAGCGTATGGTTTGGGTATCTGAGACAAAGCAAGACTGACTGCATGGAAGCACTGTGTATTAAACATACAAGATAGAGACATTTTTAGGAAAAAAAAAAGACTCCTAGACAGAATGTCTAAACATGCTCTTTCAAGTACTCAGATTGTATTTTGTGCACAGACTTTCACTTCAGTCCGTACACTCCTTTCTCTCCCGTCACACTCGCTCTGTGTCACTTTCACACTATGATATGCTCTTTTCCATGCTCTCTTTCTATGTCACACACTCTCTCCCGCTCTCTTTTCTGCACTTTCCTTCTCTCACACGTTATTTCTCCCTTTCCCTTATGCACACACACACACACACACACACACACACACACACACACACACACACACACACACACACACACACACACACACACACACACACACAAGCCCGCTCAGTTGTGAACAAGCTGAACAGAACTGGGAGTGTTGCTAAAGCACAGGGTCCCTTGTTGTCTGCCGGTTGGCTTTAGAAGCGCTTCCCCGCTATAACCAACTGGTATTTACAATCCAGAGAGATTTGGCTTTGTTTGGATTAAACACACAGGATTGCACAAACACAAACACATGCAAGGAGAAGAAGATTAGCAGAAGAAAAAGAAGAAAAAGCTTCAGGTACTGCTACAATATCGAGCATTTGATATGGGAGAAATGGAAATAAAAGTCAATGTGTACACAGATGGTGTTGAAGAGGCAGAAAGATTTCAAGCATGCTGCACTTCAGGCCACACCCACGAATGACATCAACACATTTTCCATCAGACGTGCAAGCCAAAAACCTGCTGTGACATCAATGATTGTGGCTGTGACCTGAAGTGCAGCATGCTTACAAGTTTCCTGCAGTTTACTGCACTTTCTTATGTAACCTTAAGTCCTAAAGTCCCTTTAAATCTTTGATTCTCATTCTAAGAAAGCTTTTTGTTCTGTACATCTGGAGATTGGTGACGTTTACTGAGGGAGAGGGAGTCACATGTTTGACCTTGAAGATTTTTAGCTATTTTACATTAATTTCAGTAATGGACTGATTGGTTTACTTTTTTTGCTTTTAAATTGGAAAAAAAAATCAAGAATATTTCTGACATTTTTAATATTAAGTGAAGTGTTTTTACAAACGTTGCACTGATTTCACTGCAATTTTTTACAGATATTCGAGACCTTTAAAAAAGTCTTCATCAAAATGTAATCGCATTTACTAGGCTTTTAAGAGCAAAACTGCAACCCTAATGGAATAACCATCTTCTGGTTTTATGTTTAAGAATGAGAGTGTTGAGCTTTTTTTGTCCATTTATGGTAATTACAATGCATTATAATATATCTGTCGCCAAATAAACGTATTAATGATATTCTGATACTGCCTCTAGGGTTTACCTGCATCGACAGAGGCCACAGTTCTGTGGCAGAAGGCTGCTCCGCTGGCAGCTGAGTTCTGAACTGAAACTATAATTGAAATGAATTGAATACAGAAAGAAAGAGAGAACAAATAGAGTGGTAGAGATAAGATAGAGACACTGAGGATGAAAGCAGGAAAAGCAGCAAGTGAGACCTTCAATCTGTGCATCGTTCTCTCCTACAATCACTTCATCTCTTCCATCTCTTGCTCCTTTCTGCACCCGACATGTTTAAGCCTCCCTCATCCCTCCTTCTCCTCTCTTATTTTCTCGCCCTCGTTTTCTCTTCCTCTCTTCTCTCTCTCTTGCTTTTTCCACATCCTCCCTTCCTCCCTCCCTTCGCACTCGCTCACTCATTGCTTCCTGCTGCCACAAATCAAATTATATCGGGGTCGTATCCATGGGCAACCGACTCCTCTCCTCCCCTCCGCCCCCCATTTCCCACCTCATCACACACTGCTACCATCATCTCACCCCCCACACCCCCTCCCCATCTTTATCTCTCTGCCTATCTACATATCTCTCCACTCCTCTTCCTCTCTTTCTCTCTCTCTGTCTCACACACACAGACACACACACACAGAATGAGCAGATAAATTATGTGGCGATGTTGGTAAGGGAGGAAATTACAGTTGTGCGGGATGACAAGACTGGTGATGTAGAGAGAAGCCACTGCAAACAACAACTGCTCCCTAAAAAAATTATAAGGTCATCCACCAGTGCTTAAAGCAAACAAAATCAGTCCCACATCCCAAACAAAACCTCTGTCCGTCTTTCTTTTTTTAGAAAAAAGTAAGCAGTGGGGTAGTGACTTTTGGTCTGAGCTTCAATCTTGCTGTTTACCACAAAGGATAAACAAGCTGGAGGTAATTGACATTAAGAGCTGAATTGCCAGGTAACCAATGGCAACTGAAGAATAAGACATCCTCAGTGAGAAGAGTAAGAAAGAAAGGGGGCGAGTGGTTTCATTTGAGTGCGTGTGCGTGCGTGCATGTGTCTTGGCGAGGTTGTGGTTGTGTGGCAGATGGATGAGGAAACCACCACTGACAACCACAACCTCCTCTTGCTGTTTCCTGTAGCCAAAACCCTCTCTTTCATTTGCTAGCTTACAGTCTCGCTCACACATACAGTTTGAACAGTTGAGGAAAAAATTAATTAATAAATAAATAAATACACCGGGTCTCACTATACTAATCAGTACAGGTACGAGCTTTCAAGGATCTACAGAACAATGATATGCTATTTTTATTTTAAAATGTTAAGCGATTCAAAAGTTATTGTAAATAAAACTGTATCTACTGGAATTGCATTTGTTGTGTGTAAAAGAGAGACAGAATTGAACTGTAAATTGCCATTACAATATCCTCTTCACTTTTAATTAAGGTGCTCCTCTAGTAATATTTTAATTGCCAAGAACTGTGCTACAAACAAACAAATGAGCAAAATAATCAGCTGCTTCTCCAGAGTCTCTCTTGTCCTATGGTATCGCTACACTGTATTGTCCTTCATTTTTTTCACATATGAATTCTGGAAAATGTTGGGAGAATGATGCTGGACCATTTGTCAAAGCTCTGCTTTTCCACAGCACACCGCAGGAGATAGTCCACTTCAGAGAGAGTTTTTACTACTGGAAATACTGATTTAGGCCAGAACGCCGCCTGGGTTGAGTGTGCAGGATACAGTACACACAGTATCCCTCTGCTAGCTATGAATTCACCAGACAACTATGTGTGCCATCGGTGCAAATCGGTGCAATAGCTGACAGGTAAAAAAACAAAAAACAAAACATCAAGTGTCTAATATTAGTGTGTTAGAGATTTGTTTTCTCATGTGCTATTCTGTTGAATAATGCCTAGAAGTTTAGAGTTACAGTGCATGTGCAAAATTGAATCTTGATCTGCTTTCCAACGTGGGTTATCTCAGCACAGGGGTTTTTCTGCACGTTGGACTACAGTTCACGATGAACTACAGAACAGGATGAGAGCTACAAATTGCAGTCTAAGAGAGTGGCATTGGATCCATTTATATGCAAGATAAGAAACTATGGAGAATAATTCAAATGGTATCGAGATTGCTCTTGATAGTGCTCGGGTCAACTTGCAGTTAGCTTCTTTCTCTTGCAGCCTCTTCTAGCTCTTTTTGAGGGGAGCACTAAGTGTTCCAAGCTACCCAAGCATGTTTTGGGTATACCCTGGGGTCTTCGGCCAGAAGGACATGCTCAAAAAAATCCCACCTCACAGATGCCTTAAGAGGCTTCCTAGTCCGATGCCCAAACCACCTCATCTGGCTCCTTTTAATATGGAGGAGCAGCAGCTCTGCCCAGACACCCTTCCGAGGAAGCTCATTTCCACTACTTGTATCTCATTTTTTCGGTCACTACCCACAGCTTGTGGCCACAGGTGTGGGTAGGAATGGAGATCAACAGCTTTGCTTTCACAATCACTTCTCACTTCAAGAGAGCAGGCCGATACAATGTCCACATCGCTGCGGACACCACACAACAGATTGATGCTTAATGCTTCATAAATCGTTAGACTTTTAAATACTTCTTTATGCATGACTATATTCCAACAACTACTAAAAGTTATCTCTTCTAAAATGTTAATCCTGTGGACTCTCAGTAAATTTGCTATAACTACAACTACTTGCACCACCTGCAACTCAACACCTCAAAGACTAAGGAACTGGTTGTGGACTTCGGGAGGTCCAGAGAAGGTCCACTGCCGGTTCAGATAGAGGGGGAGGAGGTGGAGGTGGTCAACGAGTACAAGTACCTCGGGCTGTGGGTGGACAATAAACTGGACTGGTCATGCAACACAGAGCACCTGTATAAAAAAGCCCAAAGCCGACTGTACTTCCTCAGGAGGCTGAGGTCTTTTAACATCTGCAGGAAGCTCCTGAGGATGTTTTACCAGTCGGTGGTTGCTGGAGTACTTTTCTATGCTGTGGTGTGCTGGGGGAGCAGCACAGCAAAGAAGGACTCATGCAGGCTGGAGAAACTGATCAGGAAGGCTGGCTCTGTGGTCGGCATGAAGCTGGACACTCTGGTGACAGTGGCAGAGAAAAGGACACTAAAGAAACTGCTGGACATTATGGACAATGCTGGGCATCCTCTGCACACGGCCATAAACAATCAGAAGAGTCTGTTCAGTGACAGGTTGCTTCTCCCCAAGACAAGAACTAACAGACTTAAAAACTCCTTTGTCCCACACGCCATCAGACTGTTTAACTCCTCTCTGGAGGGGAGAGGGAGGGGAAACAGGAGGACAAAGGAGGGGGGAACAACTAAGCTGTAGTGCCTCTTCACCTCACTGTACAATACCTTGTGCAATACTTTTTGTAAATAGTCAACAGTGCAATAGACTCAATACTTGAAATGTGCAATTCACTTGTATTTTTATTCCTATTTATTCTATTTATCCCCTTTGTATATTTTATTTATATTTGTCTCTCTGTGTGTGTGTGTGTGTGTGTGTGTGTGTGTGTGTGTGTGTGTGTGTGTGTGTGTGTGTGTGTGTGTATATATATATATATATATATATATATATATATATATATATATATATATATATATATATATATATATATATATATATATATATATATATATATATATATATATATATATATACACATACACACACAATTCTGTAACTGTAACTTCGGTCGTTGCTGTGCTTTTTTGGAAGTCGAATTTCCCAGAGGAACCCACCCGAGGGATTAATAAAGTTCTATCTTATCTCTCTTATCTTATCTTACTTCAGTTAGGAGACTGATTATTCTTCAACAATGGGCTACACTTGAAAAAAATTTAGATCAGCTGAAATGCTGAAATTCAACTTATTTAGCAGTGAAAGAAAAAATTCTGCACAATTACCTTTTTCCATTCACAGATATTTTAAAACATTTATTGAAAGCTGCTTCAAGGCTCATAAAAAAGTACTGCACATGAGATTTTTTCATGTGTAAAAGATCATGCAGATTCAGAAACATGGCTTAGAATTGTATGTTTTGCTAGATGGAAGCAAAAAGCAAATGCTCAACTTTGTAGAACAATCTTTAGCTTGGAAAAGTTCATGTTCAGATTTTAGCTGAATTATGAACGTATGCATCAAAGCTGTAACGTTGGCTGGGGGTGCCGCTGAGGATTAGTTTACACCTGACTCATATCTATTTTTTTTTTCTACAGATGGGTATGTGAATTCCCACTGGAACATTTTGCATGAAATTGCCCCAATAATTGATCTACAGGCCTACAATTAATTCAACAGCGATGTTAAAAACCCCCCAAAAAATTAATGGCACGACAAGCTTAAATTAGTTTACTTTTAGAGTCAGCGACAATACAGAAATACTCATTACAATATGCTAAATCTGTATCAGGAGCTGGTTTAAATGTTAAAATCAATAAATATTTGCATAAATGTAAAGAAGTGCTTTGATGTGTCTAATAGCTGATCATCTGAATTAACCATAAACTGATAAAGTCCCATTTGCTTACTGCACATGCATGTTTTATTTAACAGTTTCTAATCTGAATGATCAGAAAATGCTTTGCAATGGGAGTTGAGGCACAAGGGTTTCTTAATATTTAAAACTACACATCATAGAGACGTCTGTGAAATCACGTTTTCTCCAATCAGTTTGGTATGATGGACTAATAATAGTGACGCTAAATGCACGACTACAATACTCATTAGACTTAACAAAGAAAAACAGATGGAGAAGCAGTGTACTGGAGAGCAACTGCCCCAAAATCTGATGCAAAATCAGAATCAAAATATCATCTCTAACTTTGGGGTCAGTGTTAGCAAAACAAAAAGATAAATCTTAAGCGGATAGTTTATACTAGCATCCCTGGAGTAATAGTTTTAAGTGAGTTTTCTTGTTCCTTGAAATTTAATTTCCAAAACAAGCCGATGATGAATGTAATTCTTGCATTGCACTATGCACTACAGCTGTTGCTTAACATAAATCTGATTAGCGATTCAGGATTCTTTGATTTCTGGCAGCGAATCTTTCTTCTTCTTACATCTTCTTGCTAAAATGGGTCACAGTGTTAATGAAAAGTCAACTCTTTCTGTGTTATCTTTGATGTGACAAACACTCTTCCATAAAAAGAAATAAACAAATAAATCAAAGCATTCCAACATGCCAGTCCTGTTCTTTTTCATGCGTCTTTGTCTTTGTAAGAAATGTGGTATTTGAGATGTTGTCATGTTTCCAGCCGGGGCCCACACTCTGAACGCTGTTTATTTTGCAGAGCTTATGGCAGCATCTCTGAATCAACATGTAGGAGGGTGACGGGCTGCATGTACTCCAAAATTCATTTGATTTCCTTTCAGAAGCTGCACTGTTCATTAGCTGAAGCAACACAGAGAAAGCATCTAAAAACCACTTATTTCATAGTCTGTTCCATATCAAACACTAAATGTCATTGAGAGAACAACTGAATCCTGCTTTACTGTGTCAACTGCTCTCACTGAGAACATCAGATAAACAAGAAAAAAAAAGGGGGGGGGGGGGGGAGAAGGTGAAATGTAAATGCTCACTACAGCTTCGGTTCGATAGGAGCATCAGAATGTCATCACGCTGACTGGTTTGACAAAGTGATTAAGAAATCATTTTCTGCGGGGAAATCGCTTGATCGCAGTCAATGATTAATTTGGGATTGTGACATTATGATCATGTATTACCACAGAGTTCATCACCTTATTGATAAACTGTTCAACACCTGACACAAACACTGGCTGCTCGAGCAGAAACAGCTACAACCCATTCCTCCTTTATGTCCAATTGTGTACTGATGAATAACAAGTCATCATACTTCACCGACCCCCTGCAGGCACTGCTTCCTCTTCTTTATCGAAATGCAACCTGCTAAGATTGATGAGAAGAAAACTGAGGATGATTTTCCAAACCCTACGGCCACCTCGCTTTTACACTGCTCGGGTCTTATTCAGTCAGGCACCTTGTTTCTCTCCCTACGCCTGTCTCCATCTTGTTTTTCTTCTCTCTCTGTTTTTGAAGGTGGGCACGTCAAATCCATTACTCAATCTGCTCAATGGAGCGAAGCCCATTTACCAGTTGACTCATTTTAGATGGATCATTTACCCTTTCATCCTCTCTGACAATGCCACTGATGTAACCAGAGGGACCGAGTCTGTTTTTTGGGGAAATATCATACTTTTTTTTTTCTTGCCTTTTTCCACTGTAGGAAGGGGAGGTGTCAGAGAAACCCCCCGACACATATGAGCCTCATAAAACACAATGCTATTATACTGTTCTGTTGTGGCACTCTTGAGAGAGCTGCAACTATGTTGTTCATGCTACATGGGACATATGAAAAACGGAAAGGATCCCTGTGGGAATTTCTTATTGCCTGAGCTAAAGTATTCTGTCACCACAATGGAATTCAGTGCTGGAAAAGTGAAAATGATCATTTCTTTCTTAGATCTGAGCAGGACAGATGAGAGCTATACAGAGAAATCAGCTCAGTGAAAGCCTGCATCTACTGGCTATATATGGGTCATTTAACACTCCCGACTGGATCGTGAAGTTTAGCTCAGAAATTAAACAAATATGTGTGTGGTTGTTAATTTTGTCTTTAGCCTTCAGTGTAACCATTTAGCTACAGCATAGCTAATGAGTGCATTAACAAAGTTAACAACAATGTCTGGACTGTGTGCTGCCTGTGTTTTCTGCTGCAAGTTTCTCAAGCAAGTGGAAACTGAGACCGAAGAAGATAAAGTAATGACACAAACTGTCCCACGATCACTCCAGATGGGTCAAATACAACTGCCTTGTGGTACAGTGGTGCTATCAGCAGAAGAAACCCACTCGGCGACATATCAAAGTCATCTAGTGTTGTCTGTGCAGAGATACTTACCCCATTTTAACAACTGCAAGGTCCAGCTTTATTATAAATGTACATCATAATGTATAAGCTGTGCAATTCATTTCTTATATGAACAACATAATGTCTATAGCAATGGACCACATTTGCAAACAAGCTATTTAATGTGTTCATTTTATATTACAAGTTCCTTACAATAATTATGCCAGTTTTTATGAAATTAAGCTCCTGAAAAAATTAAATAAAACTCAATATTAAATCTTGATTACCTAACACTGCATGACATTTATCATATTCTTCACTACAAGGGCGTTTGGGATTTCCTTATGCATGCACATGAAACAGGGTCAATACAGGATTCCTTTTCAAATACCACAGGACTGATCCACAAATCCAGCTATTTATAATTATCCAGCTACTTATATTAACTTTGTTGAAAACTTTAGTTCTTTAATTTTGGTTTCTGAAACAGGAAAGTTTAACAGGAGTTTCTTTCCATATCATGACAGTTCAGGTCATTTGTTCTAACCTGTTTGTTGCGTTCGTCAGTGATCCTCTGAATCTGGATCTTTTTCCTCCCCATGGTTCTGGTGTTGCAGTGGGAGGATCAGGGGAAAGTGACAAGATGTGAGGTCACGGATGGCTGCTGTTACTTTTCCTCCTCTTTGAATCTCTATTCGCTTTCAGTTTGCCCTCGCTGTGCACACTGACCCTGTTTGAAGGACCCAGGCAGGGAGGCTTTCACCAGCAAGATAGAAAAAAACAAAAACAAAAAAAGAGGGAGAAGGAAGAAAGGAAGAACGGGGCTCTGTGTACAGCACGCTTTTCAGATCATGGTCCTGTTTCTGGGGGCAGGTCATCCACACTCAAGCTGAACTAGGATCTTCTGCCCTCCCCTTCACCTCAGCTGGGCAGCTTCTGGAAAACAACACAAGAGACATTTATCAGGCTGAGAGAGACAGAGATTCTGAAAAGGGCAAGGAGAGCGAGGCTTTGTTTGTATATTATGACCTTATTTAGCTACTACAAACCCAACATATACAAGAGAATAAATGATGCAGCAATCCATTTGAGGCACTATCAAATCAGAAGCACATTTGGCTAAAATGAAGAGTAGGTGAGGGGGGTGGGAGTGTTTGTGGCTCTACATGCAGAGCAAGAGGCCCTCAGGGGCCCGCGAGTCGGGAGGCTGTGCTGTGTCAGCTTCATTAGAGGCATCACCGCCACATCACTGATCTGCTGGTCGCCCACGGCAACCGGCTGCCCGGCCCAGGCCGCCTGACACGCCGAATGTGAATCCCCGATCAGAGGCACATTAGAGAGTCTGCGGATTCTGCTCATTTCCCATTTTCAAAACACCGTCTTATGCATTGATCATTTCTCTACAGGAAGCTCAGTAGTGACAAGACAATATGACGATCTGCACTATGCTAAAGGGAATTATTCTCCCTTTAAATCCATGAAATATCCATATAAATAATCAATGTGGTTAAAATGCAATTTTCAGTCTTTTCAAACAGATTTTCTCACGAAAGATACCAGACACATCTGCAAACAAAATGAGTGGGCAGATCTCCAGTGACACTTCATATTTAAAAGACAGGATGGCGAATGTCATTTTCTGACCATTAATATCATTACGCCTTATTACCTAAACTGAATGCTGACCTAATTCCATGCAGAACAGCGAAAGATGACGAGTGTAAAAACGTGTGTCTAATTCACTCATACGTCTAACTAACCATGAAATAAGGGTGGTCTGGGATACGCTACGGTGCCTGATCAAAAACAGAGGATGGGTACATCACGAAGTCCATATTTTAAAAGGGCAAGTCAGAGCAAGAAAGCCCAGAGTGTTTCTGCAAATTCATGCAAACTCATGAATGAATGAGACGGCAGCAGCCCAGGAATGGCAACAGAGGCAAAGACCGTTTTAGGCCCTGTTACTACTATTTACGGTTCATCTTTAAAAATAGCACTCTATATATATATATACATATATATATATATATATATATATATATATATATATATATATATATATATTATATATATATATATATATATATATATATATATATATATATATATATATATATATACACACATACATACATACAGATTGTGTGGACACACAGCACAGCCTGCACGTGCGCACGCACGCACACACACACACACAGTGGCAGCCAAGTGGCAGAATTACAGAGCTAAATCATCTGGAAAGCAGTACACAGTACAAAGTACACACATCAGGTCCGCAGCATTGTTTGCATTCCCTCTACCTGGGAGAGCAGCAGCAGAAGAACGCCCTCTATTTACATCCATTCTTATGAAACAAAGAACGTGAAATAGTCTGTCATGAGACTGACATTCCTTTTGTGCTGCTGTGGGAGCTGCACTGCATGCTCGTTTAGAGAGGATGCAATTGGCTTAGCTTTGGAGATGAGTTGCCTATGAATTATGCACTGATGGGAAAGAGTGGAAGGGGGCTGAAGAAAGAGTGTTATGAATGTCATAATTGCTTTGTAAAAAGGCTTGATGGAGAACTGGAGGCTGCCTGAGCCCGATTTTTTACACTAAGCATCTACAGTGAGCTGCAGGAACTGAATGTATTATACTGGCAAGATCTTTCACATATTTTGTTCCAGCCCCTTAAACAAAATTATTTTATAAAAATCCATCTCATCCGCTTTCGTTCATCCTCCTCGTCTCCATTTTCAGTATCACCAATTTAATAGGAAAACTAGCAAAGGATAATGAATTCTACCTGGATCACCTAATTAGTGTACTCCTGGAAAGAGCAGGCATTTCTTTATGTTGCACATTCATTCCTTTCATTCAGCTTCAAATGAAGGAAAGTAAAGAAGTGGTGGCGAAATATTTTAATAAAATAATAGGGTGTGCGTTCATTCTCTCTTTGTCAGCCACAGAGAGAGTAGGGGACTCACTGCAGTTGCAGTGAAGTTCAAAGGCAGCAAACTGAGGGATTTGTCTTTAGGCTGTGGGCTGATCACACATGAAAAGGCTGCTTTATCTGCCTGGGGTGGTCAAGTCTCGACCTTTTACCCTTCATGCTGCTGCAGCTCGCTTCCCATGTCTGATGTCAGGCAGAATCTCTGCTCTCACATGGGAAGCGGAGAGCCTGGAGTGTGTCTGTTACTTCACTGAGCAGACACGAGTGATAGAGAGGCTCTGGACAATGAAAAGATAAACACTGATAATTAGGAATCTACCGTGGACCCAGATTAGCACCCTGGGGAACGCCTAATGCGTTTATATGCTTTATTCCCCAAGAGGCCATTGAAAGGCTAGTCTTTAACAATTTATTATGGCTGGAGTTAGGAAAACTGAATAAAAGGAATATAGAACTTTTAAGGAAACTGCAATCATTGAAAGTACAGCTGTGCTACATTTCTATAGTTTTTAAGCACAAATATCGGCTGTTCAGGTTTGATGAAAAATTCATCATCTCTTTAGATAAATTGGGCAATTTGAAGTTGATAAAGCTCTGTGGCTTCTAATGCGAGATGTTTTCATACACTTTGTACCAAAGCAGAGACGCCCTACCACACAAGAAATCTAGAAATGAAAAAAAGTATTCGTACAAGATGTCAGTTCTTTTCTGTTCTTCTTAATTACATCAGTTTGGGGTTGTCTTCAGTGTCCTTTGAAGATGCACACTACATTCTATAGTATGTACCAAAAAAACCCACCAGCCTCAAAATATCTGACAATTTAAAAAAAAAAAAAAATGCAATCCATTATAATGTGCTGTTTCATAAAGACAAAAAAGGCACAATGCAGAAAAGTAAGCCAACTGAGAATCTGGTCATCAAATTAAAGAGCCTTAAGAGAGCATCATAAAGAGCATAAAAATGAAAAATACTGTTACTGTAGAAATGTGTCAGCTAAGTTCTAGAGAGGGCACATCAGGTCACAGCCTTAGGACAGTCTGTAACAAAGATTAGTCCATAAAAAGAATGGTTAGAAAATATTGCAGTGCATCACCATCCCTGACATCTACTACTGGCTGTTAAACATTTCAAAGCATCAAATCTTCTATTCCAATGATGTGGGTGGAAACCCACGAGGTACAGGGGCTATATTATGATTTTAACATTTATTCATGAGGAAAAAGTTGACAAGAATGCTCTATTCTGCAATAACTTGCTTCACTTTTATGCAGAGCCGTAGCTGGAAGCTTCATGTTGCAACTGTCTTTTACAGTCAGACAATAAAAAAATAAAAGAATCTTCCTTTGGGCAATCAGGGGTTAAATGACTTGCTAAAGGGCATGCCATCCAGATTTTCCCAGCCAGTCAAGGTTTGTGAACTACTGACCTTCCTTCTGACAACCTGCCTGGCTGCCCCCGAGGCTAACACTGCCCTCGATATTTCCAATTCAATACGACCAATGTTTCTGCTACGGGCTTAATGTGCCAGAACCTGGAGGGAAAGAGATACACTTGCATGCCACAAAATGTAGCAGGAAAAGAGGGTGTTTGGGTTAAACATGATCTCTGTCAGTATAGCATTCTGTTGGCTTTTACGATGGACGGCATGATGTAATCAGATGATGATCCATCTCTGTGTGTGCACACTAAAGTCTGACAGCTACTGTGAGATATTTGGGTCAGAAATGAGTGATAATTCAAGCAGAACAAAACCTGAAACAGGACAGTTTTAATTAAAATACACTATAAGTGCTTTATTTCAGCAGTTTTTCCCTGCTGTTATGGGTTCAGGCACGGGTTTTTTAGTGTCGCACTGCACCCTGCAATGTCAGCTAATAACTACAAATGTATGTTATATGCCATTTTCACTAGTGTGAATGAACATAGACTGCGTGGCATGTAAGAAAATGCTAATTTAGACATTGCCCCAACTTGACTCTTATATCATTGTACTGAGTTAATTTTTAAAAATGAGTTTGAGACAGAATACGCCTGGTTAAAAAGAAACATGATGATCCTAAGAAAAGTGATGACCATTGTTTTCCCCAATGATCTTTAAGCTGATGAATGTTTACTCGCTCATAATGAACAGAAAATACATTAGTCATTAAGCTTAAAACATTTTTGGGGGAAGGTTATCGGTATGCCCATATGATAAATCTCCAGTACAACACTAGCGCGTCTATATTGGTCAGGCCTGAGTATTATCTGTCTCTGTGCTTGTCTGTGTTTATGTGTGTTTTCCTGTATGTCCATTCTTTACCATCCTGGTGTGTAAAGTGGCAGTGGAGCAGCCTGGAGCAAAGAGATAACAGTCAGCGGTAGAGGGTTGGCCGTCAGGGGGAGGAGTAGTGGTGGTGGTGGTGAAGATGGTTCTCGGCTGCTGGAGCCTTGCCAAAGGACTACAGAGAAATCCATTACTTTTCCCACTCAGCACCAACATCTGCTAAAGCTGATCGCAACCAGCTCCACTGCAGACACCCACTATGTGCTGTCCATTCGAGCCCAAGCTATGATTACATCAACCTAGACTAAAATCAGTTTCTAACGCTTTATGGACAGAAAGCTGCCAATGTCATGGGAATTGTCTGAAACCTATATGTATGTGCTTATACCAATTGTAATGAGGGTCAATTTAAATACCCAGCAGACGTATAACGTTTAATGGTTATGAAAAAACTAACACAAATCCAGGAGTTAAACCAGCACAAAAATGCAAGCCAAGAACAAATTCAACACAGGAAATAAAATAAGCTGTAAAAACAGGCTGTTCTGAACTTAAGGACCAAGTAAAATAAAAAATAAAAAAAACCCCAACAACACTGGCATAATGTTCACACAGTTGTTCAAAGAAAATTACTGAGGCAATAAACTCTCTTATTGTTGAGAAAAAGCATCCATTAAAGTTGCTAAAAAATGTCTTTTTCAGACAACAGACAGTGACCCTGAACAGAGGTACACAATCACCAGCCAGTGGCATTTAAGTGAAGAATACATAATCCAAAAAATGCCCCATGAATCACTGGCTGCTGTTTACCAATGTTGATGTAGCTGGCACTTCGGGGAGGTTCATGTGACTTCTGGCTAACAACACAAAGTGGAAAAGTATCGGGTGTTTTAAAGCCACAGTCAAGAAACAAATTTTAAATAGCGTAAAAGATTCGATTCAAATTACACTTCGATAACTCTTACTGATGCTGGGATTGATAGTCAGTTTGTGTCAGACAGGACTGTCTGGTCAATTGATGTCAAATGTGTTTTGTTTTTTGGTCCTAAAATAAGTTTTCCCAGAAGATCTGACAGGAGGGAAATGGTAACAAATGGTGGCTGGTGATGTGCCAGCCACAATTTACTATGCATAATATGCTGACTATAAGAGAGTACCTCATAGAACTAAACTTAAAAAGAAAAAAAATCAGTAGAAAGCTAGGTATCACAAATTGCTCTCTGTAGCACAGCTTACGTGAAAAGAATCAAACCAGCAAACTTGTTGGTTTTTGCAATCACTGGCAAAAAGATACATGATCCTCTAAAGGAAGCTAAGCTAAAGTGCACTATCAGTAACAGTGACTGTTTGTCATGATATAAATATAAGAAAATTATATTGACTGCTAATGAAATATATAAAAATATCATTAAGCAGGCCCTGCTGGCAAAATATCACAGACATAGCCTAAATATCTGCACAGGAGTTCAGGGCTTCATGTTTCAAGATGTGTGCAGTTTGCCTGGATATAGCTGTTGAAGTCATGACCTCTGCACCAGGCTTGGAAAATGACTGATCTGTGGCTCACTTTGAGGTAGACATGGATCAATAATTTACCAATATTCATTTATCACTCAAGGTTCCATCAAAATAGGTCTGACAAGTTGGACAAAATCCAATTTGACAAATGATCCAATCAGATGCGCTGTTCAACTGGGAATCAAATGAAATCAAATCAGCAGGTGTCTGAGGTGGTCTTGCACCTGTGGTTTAATTTGACCAAAAACAGAAAAGATGTAGCAGACCAGAAGAGTGATCAAAATGAACATGCTCTTCTGCCTCATTAAAAACAGAAGGACCAGAAATAAACTCTCCAGTGTTAGGGGCATTTAAAGGTTGAAGGTTAAATGGCAGGCTGAGCTCAAACCAGTGTTAATCGGTTGATTAATTCGTAAGCTGAAAATTAATTTGAAGACATTTCATTTTTCTTGCACAAATGAAAAGCATCCACTTGGGATTCTAACCACTTTTTTCCCCTGGTCTTTTCCAGTCCCCCCCCCCTCCTGTCTTAATTGCAAACACATATAGGCACTGAGACACTGACATCTTGAAGGCATTAATGCCAAGGTTCATGCATTGCACACCAGCTTCAAGATGCATTACAATAATGAATCGGGTTTTGTAAGAGGAGGAGGAAAAGTCTAATAGATTTGCTCCTCGCTGGGAAACAGATAGAACCATCAATGGGGCTGAGAGTGAAGGGTTGGGGGTTGGGAAAAGGTTGGCGTGTAACTGGGCCACTGAAAATGTGACCCGGCGAGCCCAACCTTGAGGGTGTTCTGCCAGCACCAGCTGTGTGATATTTACAGCCTGTTGCCTCATGTTCCCGGGCAACTGTTGGACACAGCTCCCAGCACACTCAAGCTTCAGATCACCCAGCATGCATCTTTACAATATCAACAAAACCCTATGGCTGATTTTGTGGAATATCAGCAGGTGGAGTAAAGGGAGGGCATGGTGACAAATAGTGGAGGAGGAGAGGGAGATGGACGAGGAGGAGGGAGCTGCTGGCCTCGTATCTGAAGCCTGGCTTATGATTGTGATTGTGCCTGTGCTTCAGCGCTGCCAACCCTGGCAGTGGAATATGATCTCCCCTTCCCCCCTCTCCTCTTAACCAATCATGGGTGAGACTTTAGAGAGGTGGGAAAGAGTGGGTAGGGCTGATGCAGTGCAAGGGCAGCACTTCTGAGGTGGTGGTGGTTTGGGGCAAGAGATGAGATGGGATGGGAGGGGTAGTAAGAAGATCTGTGCCTCATGGCTTGTGAATCACGCCCGCACTGCTGGGTCGCTATCAATACTGCAGTCTGCCCGAGCACGTACACACACTCCCAAACACGTATACAAAAAAACAAACAACAGCACGCACAAAAAGAAAAAACACACCTACGCACTTAACACAGGGCGCCCTAACTGTCACTGATCTGCTGTTTGTGCTCATAGCCTCTGGCATGAATACAGCAAAAATATCCCAATAATACCCATAATGCACGTATATACTGTATGCGAGTGCAAACACAGATTCACAAAGATGTCTTTTGTGCTGAATTTTAGAAACCATGTGGAGTATAGGGGACTTGTTGGCAGGCCATACAATACTTTAACTGTAATTTGTTGTCGATCTGAGACCTACCCCTGTCACTGCATCACCAACATGGACAATGTGGTTTGGCCTGTTGGGTTACATCATGACCAAACGATAAAACCTCCTAACATGCTCAGGGGCACTCCTGTTCCTGAAAGGTGACTGATTAGAGGAGCCAGTGGTAAGAGTTTAAAATGATAAACTGTAACCGCGTAAGAACTGTGACAAATAGGAAAAATGTGAAACCGTTTCTTGATTAGAAATCCTTCAGATTATCTAATAAGGGCTTGAGGCATTTTTTAAATGTATTTGAAGATCTGCTGTGGCCTTGCATGTATAAGAGGTCACTACAAGTTCTAAAGTTTTCGTGCATCGATTTAAAGGTGTATTACAGTCACTTAAAGTAAATCAAATTGAGTCTTCTAGATGCTTTTTCAAGAACTGAAACCGATGTCTAAAATCTCAGCTAAACATGCCATTGATGGTTATTTTTGTTTGATCAAATAACCTTATCTAAAATGACTTAATCTTCAGATACGTAGTGCTTGGAGATACTCAAATGTGCATAATTTGCTTCTTCTTACTGTTTGTGTAATTGTAAGTTGGATATATTTGTTTTTCAGACATGATAATTTCCCCTCAGGCTGAGAACTCCTGTGATCATAAATTTCTTTATTTACTGACAGTTTTAGGACATAAAAAAAAAATGACATGATAAACTGGTATGATAATGACTAAATAAACAACTAATCAATCAACGCTGTGCCATTACATTGAACTAGCTCTTACATACAGTGTTTTGTTTTGTTTTTTTGGATCACAGCAAATTAAACAGCTGCAATTTGATTTATAAATGAGAGTTATTCTGGCAGCGGCAGTATTTAATGAATTTATTATTCATTCAAGTACTACCCATTACGTTGGGCTTTGTTTGTCTTTGAGATCAGATCATTTATAATCTATAATCTGCCTCATTAGGGCAAATAGTTTTGAAATGCAACTCTTGAGATGTCTGGTGGAATCCAGGTTTCCTCCCTGAAAGCTTTTCCCATCGTTTCAAATGTGCTGCGGCACAATAACAAAAGGTATGTGACAAAGAAGAATGCCCGCCAGACAAAACACTAATGACATCAATGTGACACTCGAGGACGAAGGGCGTGCATGCCCGAGTCAGCGTGCGTACGATAGTTTGACATCACTAGTCGAACATGTTTTCATCAATGGGACCTTATGCAAGAGCCAGACAGGTAAGATCAAGACAACCGGCTGGCTCTAACACATAGTGCTTTAACGCAAGTGCTGTCAGGTTTATTTTCATGAATGCAGGTGAGTGGGAGGAGGAATTCTGTTTTTTTTTTTTTTTCTCAGCACGAAAATACCTACCTATTTTTATCATCCACCACAAACGTTATGTTTATTTATCTGTCATTAACTGTGTAATGTGGGCACCGCAAGTATGCTAAAGGTACTCAATAATAATAAACACTCCACGGAGTGTGGCACACACACACAAACACCACTGTTCTAAGAAGTAACTGTAGTCCTTTCAACAATTTCACTCTCCCTATAGAAAACATTTTTGGTAACAGATATACACAGACTCAGTCATGATTGCGCGTGTGTGTGTGTGTGTGTGTGTGTGTGTGTGTGTGTGTGTGTGTGTGTGTGGTCATTAGAAAGCACAAGCTCCTTCAGCTCAGAGAGGCATCTTTCAATCTAGTCACAGGAGATCGAGCCAGGTCGGCTTTGTTGTCAAGAAACCTTTCAAAACAAGTGCGGAGCAGCTGCTTGGAGACCTGCAAGTCCATCCACTCTTGTTCTGACTGGTTTAAAAAGCAGAAGGCACCAATGCAACTCAATAAAACTTGTAGAAATGAGAAAAAACATCACAACCATGTTGAGAAAGGAAAACTTATTTCCTGTCATCATCCCAAAATTAAATGATGATCACTATGGAGCAACCAACAACAGTGCAGCGCACGATCCATGTAATAATCTCCCATCTGTAGAACAAGACCCTTCAAATTCCTGATGTAATTCTTTTTCTACAAACAACACAAAGGCAGACAAATCAATTTAAGCCTGGAAATCAAAATAAGCCTATTATTTCTAGGATAAAACAACCTCCTGCTATTAACCTTGTGTTTTTCCTTTTCTTTTTTGGGAAAAAGCACAGTAAAAACAGGGTAATCGCAAAGGTTAAAGAACCCCAGCAGCTGTATTCAATGCGATATATCTCACCATACGTAAAGTACAGAACATAGTTTTAACAGGTGTCAAGGGCACAAGCGTCATGGCACTCAACTCACCATTAATGGTCATGCAAGCCTTCAATTCAAGGAAGAAAAAGAGCAGGTGTGACGTTATGAGCTTCACAACAACACAAGCTTTCGACCATAAATCACTACAACAGACCCTCCCTCCACTCTTGAGCCTCTCTCAGCACATTGGGGACTTGGGTAGATGTCAGTTCAGCAGCTGACAAAGGACAGCCGGCCACACAGCAAGTCACCTCGCACTCTTCCATATCTACCTCGTAAAGACCTACTGATTGCTTCCTGGACTGATTAGAGACCCGAGAAATCTCTGAATGTTCATGAAAAACATCTTTTTTCAGAACTTCAGCTAAAACGTGACTTTTAAACAGAGACGAGGTAGTGTGAAATCTTAAAAGAAAAAAAAAAACGACTTTCTCTCTTCATGGTTTTAAGAAACATAGCATTCATTTCACATCAAATCAATTTAATCAAACCAACTGTAACATCTCTATCGACTGCTCTTACCAGCGAAGATTTTTGGTGCCAAAAAGTTGTTTTGGAAGTTCTATGACACAGCAGAAAACAAAACACAATGTTGAGGTCAATAGTTCCAAAGTAGTCCAAGTCAAAGATTGCAGAGGTATACAAAGTCCTGAATAGAAAGACAGTCCGGCTTAGAGCAGCACATGTGCCACTCCACCCACCATCGACTGCCGAAGTGACAACTGCTGGTGGAACACCTCACTCTGGACGCCCCAAATTACCCTTCTTACTGGACCCCAAGCACCACCAAGCCCCCTCCTCTGCTGCTGCTTCTTGTCACTCTACCTCACTCCTCACAATTAAACAGTACACTCATCCCCCTCTCTACCCATAAACCCCTCCCAGGTCACCCTTTGCCCTAATATGCCTTCAGCAACTGCCACCAATTCATCATAGTCTATGTTAGCAAATGAGGTGTGTGTTGGTCAGCTCTTTAAAGAATTTTTTTCCCCGCATTTCAGCACATTTAATGCAAATCCTTGCATTTCCAATTTTTTAGTAGGTCAAAATTTAACTTTATTGAATTATAACTAATTGAACAATAGATTATTTTCTAAATATAAATCTCATTCCTTGAAGTTTAAACTGATAGTTAAAATATGAAACTTGACATTATATGCCACAGCAAAAAAACAAAAACAAAAAAAAAAAAAAACAAAACAAAAAAAACAGTGCAGTACACTATCAAAAAAATCTGCATTTTTGTTCAGCATAAAATTATTATTATCTCATATCTGATCTGATTATTTTACTCAAACTTTCACTTTAGTGATCATCACAGCCAGATTGATCTGCTCCACTATGGTAAAATAATACAGTGAGATTTTTTTTTTCCATGTACTGCCAACAAACAATGGAAAAATATGCCCCCCCCCAAAAAACATGTTGGAAAGCTGAAATCGTCAGCTGACAAATGCAAAAGTTAATAACTTGTGTTTTGATAACTAAACCTAATTTTACTAAGCTTCTGACATAGTGTTTATTGTAATTCCCAGTTTATAGGCTAAACAGAATATGGCTATATGTATGTGTCCCAAATGAGTGAGGGAGTCACTAGCTGCCTAACTGAGGGTGTGAGATCCTTTTTGCACACCAGTCTATCCCTCGTGCACGTGTGTCTATACATCTTCCATTTGGATCATAAGCTGCTAGCAACAGGGTGGCAGCTGCCTACATACCTTTTGATCCTCTGGACTCTCTGAGGACCCCACCCCCCAAAAATCTGGACACATACACACACACAAAGGCAATGCAATGCAATACACACATATACTCAAATGCTCAGCTGTCGGAGAATTCAACACAGCGGTAATGTCTTGTGCCCTTCTGCCCTACCGTTCAATATGCGATTTTGAAATTCTGCTGTTAAACTTCAACAGCTACACTGCAACATCTCCACCTTCCCATCATCTCCAATGTGGACCACTGCTGACGGTTCTTATCTGATGCCATATCCAAATCCTAGAAGATCTGATCTTGGTAAGATACGGTTGTTTGACAGCAACCACTGTAAAAGGAACGCTTCGCTCTCTGTGACTTTTTTGCAACAGCGACTCTGCTTCCCAAGACATGAATCTCAGCCCGTGCCCTTTCCTGACCTTGAAATCTCCAAAGGGGGGCCGGAGGGTGTGGGAAATGGGAGGCCACTAGTCTGCTAAACAGTTGTGTCATTGAGTTTCCACACACAGTGAATACATGTATGGGTGCAGGCACGTATGTGCCAAGAACCCAACGGGTTAAACAAGGGGCAAAAATTCCAAAGGCCATATTCATCTTGCAGCAGTAACTTATATGGATAAATCTGTAAAAGGAGAGAAGAAAAAATATTTTCCCTTTGTGTATCTGGAACAGGAAATCTGCCCATGGTTAGGAAAATATACACCACTACTAAACCCAACAATCCTAATGTCAGAGTATTGAGGGCACAATTACTTCAACAACAAACACGGTTGCTCAGATGGCCTTATCTTTCTGCCCCGTTCTCCAGGTTTTTTCCCCCGCTTGCCATCCACATTTGTCATCCGTGTGCACGACTGCCTGGGGGCTCTCCGTGTTGAACACACGGTGTTGGCCCAGAGCCTAAAATGGGGATCTATGAGCCTACCTCCGCTCTCACTGACAACTGACTGCAAGCGCGGGCCAAGACTGTGTGGTGCTGGCTACATGTGGTGGGGATCCGGCACTGAGGAGAGGTGGGGGAGGCACAAACACTAAGCAAAGGATATCTATTCTCTCCTCTTTAGCAGAGCAGTAAAAGAAAGCAGCTCCTTTGCCCAGAGGCAAGTGTATTTATGTTTAAAGGAAACACAAAAGCATATAAGCTTCAGCTCTTGCAATGATAAACATCCATCCATGTAACTGCAAATCCTTGGAACAGCTGCAGAGAAGGCAAAAAGATTTGTTTTTGCGTATTGTTCAATGTGAAAGGTGTGCCACCTGAGTGATGTGCCATGACAAAGAAAAACTCAAGAGGTTTTGTTGAAGACAAGCTTATTTGGTACTTTGTCTTTGTACCAAATGACTAATAGGTTTGTGAATAAGCATGATATGCTTTCAAGGGTCTGACAGTGAATACCCTGATTATGCAAATCTGCCTCCCTCCCGAGGATGGGGTAAATTAAAAAAAAATGACAAAGCTTTTCTTTGGTGTGGCACTAGTGTGAGCCATTTTCTCGCATGTGACCTACATTATTAAGGAATTTTCCACATTTTCACATCCTTACGACAAATCTCACAGCATAATAAAGCTCAGAAGATGAACATTTCCAACAGAACGTACTCATCCAAACAATGAGGCTGTCTAATTACTCCACATTATCTGTGCCAGCATCCAGAGCCAATCTTCGTTTTACTTACATTTCATGTTAGAAATCTAGTGATTTCAAACCAGCAGGTTTTCAGATGCCCTAAAGCATCTTGAGTGGATCAAACCAATTTCAATTCAATTTTCACCATTTATTTTCACGTATGTCTATTCAGAAAATATAAGATAAGCACATTGAATTTGCTTTCATTTCTTTGCATCTGATTTTAGCCATTAAGGTAGGGATGTGATGCAAATGAAGAAGTACAAAACAATGAGGCAAAACCATTAACTCTTCTAAATCCTTTTATGTCATAATAAACTGGTTAATTGTTGAGATCATAATGACAAAAACAGTTGAAATCTGTTGTTAGAATTCCCGCAGCCATTGACGTCTCTTTTTGTGGGACCAATAAAGATGTGCAGTTTAACAATGTAAATCAATATATCAGTCAAGAAGTTACGAAAAAGATAAATGATTTGTAAAGCAAGTAATTGTTTGCCACTTAATAAATCAATAGATCCAGTTTGGCATTCTAGTATTTAGAGTTCTACTTTAATTCAAAACTGCCTTCAAAATGAGCAAGTTCCAACTGAAACGCATTAGATTAGCAAAAATTTTAAAAATGTAATTAATTAAATGAAGCTGGAGGAGTTCTGTACAGAATCCAGACGGATATGATCACTGTTCCAGTTTGTTGTGGCTGAGCTCAAAGGGAATGCTTTTCATTTACTGATCAGTCTGCCTTCCTTCCTTTTCTCACATGCGGCCACGTAGATCACAGATACAGAAGTTGCAGAAATGAGCTTGCTCCGATAGGGCCCTGAGCTCACCCTTAAGGCGCGTCCACACAGGAAGTAATTCGTTCGTCATGCATTGCTTTGTTGCTGACAGCCGTGTTTGCCAGACATTCCAGACTCCAGTCGCCTAGGTAACCCTCTAATACATTTAAAACTTTGCTATATGTCAATCAATGGTATCCTGCACTCTCACTAGCAGTCGCTTCAATCTCTTGCTTTCAAGTCATAAAAAAGTTTAACTCGGGACCTGCACACTTTACGTCGCCAGCAATTGCTTTCCATGGTCTCTGCGAAATTAAAGTCATCACTTCCTCTGTGGACATCTTCAGAGATAAGCCATGGAGCTTCTCTGCATCAGAAGGATCTATTTGAGGTAGTTTGGGCACTACCAAAGTAGAGTCAATGTCCAGTCTACAACCAACCACAACACCATAAATTCACTGGCTCTGGTGTCAGAATTGGCATCGTCAGTGGTTTTGGTAAGGGCGTGTGTAAAAAATTCTGCAACGACTCAACGATGTAGCCCACAGATTGTATCTGCCAATATTTTTCCATGTAAATTATCCCATCTTTTGCTTTACTCTTCTGAAAATACACCAGAGCAGGAGTGACTGTACACCAGCACTGTCAACATGTCAGGGGAAAGTAGGGAGAAGCGGCCACCCACTGAGGTTTTTCAGGCATATCCATGGTTGGATAAGCTTATAACATTTTCAAAGAAATAAATCTAAACTACACACAGAATGTGAGCTACTTAAAAATAGCACGAGACTGCACTGGAACACCTTTAGGGACTGCTGTATGTCACAGTACCGACCAGTATTGTATTTGTCTTTATCTAATCTAGCCCTTGCTCACTCAATCTGGGGAAATTTGGTATCTCCTAGCCCCTGGAGCTGTCGCAGCTATAGGTTAGAAGTCAAGAGCAGCAAGACAAGCCCCAACAGACGCAGCAACCTGTTCCCTTCAACTGTCTGCCTCACTCAGCTGGCTCCACAAAGGCTGCAACCCCCCCACCCCATAAAAGCCTCTTGTTGCAGCTCCAAGCGCACCGCTTTTCCAGGCTGTCACTGCCCAACACAGGAACAGTTTTAGGGACAGATTATTAACATCAAACTCCCCTTTGAATCTGTCTTTAATATAACACGAAGCACTAAATTAAGCAGCGCTCTGATTTCTGCTTATTTTATGGAGTAATCAATGAAGTACCATTGCCTTCGTAAGGGAAATCAATCCCTGTTGACTAACAACATGCCTTCCTGTGTACAGTATA